ACACGCTGCTCCGACTGGTTTCTTGCTCCGACTTGTTTCCTACTCCACGACCAGCCAACACGCACCATGCGCAATTTATTCCTTGCTATGCGTAGTCATTCCTGCCTTTCCTCTTTGCTGTGCCCACTCAGTCCCACGCCGGAGTTGCTTTCCAGTTCCTCGCTGCAGTTTCTTGGTGTAAGTGATTTTATCTTCTGGCCCCATCTCAGCAGACTTTGTCCCAGTTTACTTTCACTCCCGCTCTGGGTTCAACGTCTGTCCCTTTTGTGTTTACATCAGGCTCTGCTGCTTCTTTAATGCATCCCGAATGCCTGCGAGGGGAGCTTTGGGTTGGAGCGGAGTCCGGCCCTCCCAGGAGATGGCATGTGCATAGTAGCCTGGTCAGGGCCAAGAGCTGTGGTGCTTGCAGTCTGACATGAAATTTGGCTGTTAATATTTAGATTGAAAATATACCAGCTGCCCTTTTCGCAGTGTTTTTAAATTTGTGGTTTTGAGGGACTTGCAAAAGCATATGCCTGACTTGAAGCATCTTCTTCTGAAATGTCATATTCCTGCTCAAAAGCAGAATGGGTACAGGAATATTTCAAATAAAACATTTGTAGAAGGTAATATGGGTAACATATTTTTTTCTTGGGTCTGTCTCTTGCAAACAGCGGAACTGTTTCGTGTCCAGTAATAAAGCTGAGGGAGTCATCTAGCAGGAAAAAATTCAGTTTACATAGTCTGGCAAATTTATGCTCCATGGTTTTATCATTGGAAAGAATTAGAAGACATTTTACTGTTTCTTCCCTTAAACCTTCTCATAGAAAATGAGACTTTGGTTTGACACGGTTCAGTCATCAGCAAACTGATGCTGGCTGTTACCTGCCACTTCATTTCCCACTTTGCTATCTTTTCAGAAACTGATGCTGCCTGTTACCTACTACTTCCCACTTTGCTATCTTTTGCATTCTTACAAGGTAACGCTCTGCCTTTTTGTATGTGTGTGTGTCTATATGTTTTTAGTTTTAATTTTTGTTTACTTCTTATTAAATTGGTGCCAGTTCCCTTCCCCAAGAGCTGAGGCTTAGTGCAGCAAGCCATGAAACCCCAATGGCAAGCTGCCACCCCAGGGAGGGCGGGGGGTTCCCACTGCCTTGTCCACAGGAGCTAACCCAGCAGAAAACCATAACCTAGCAGAAAACCATGCACTTCTGCGCTGGAGGAGGATTTGGTTGCTCCTGGTTGTAACTCCTTGAACCAGCTCCCTGAAGAGTCTGCTGACGGCCACTCAGTCAGCCACTGCCAGCATGGGGAGCGGAGGGAGGAAACCCAAGTGCTGGTGGTAGCTGCCTGTTAGACCCAGTTAGCTGTGAAATGAAAATAGCCAATTAAGCGAACTGGGCTATAATTTCCTGCTTGCACTTCTTCCACCCCTTTTTTCTTTTTATGATAAGCTACATTTGTCTTTTTTCTCGTCTCCTGTAATCGTGCCCTCCTCCTACCCATTCTTAAAAGTTAATCTCTGAGACTGTCCCAGTAGTGTAAAGGGAATTGCAAGAGGCCCTGCCTACTTGAAAATATGTAACTTATCCAAGCAGTTTTAAACTATTTTTCTATAAAGACAAGTCTTCCTATGAAGACACTCTACCGTGAGTGTCTTGCAGTTGTGCCTCTGATATTAATTGGGGTAGCTATCTGGTGGTGGTTGTTGCTATTGTTTTTTAAGAATTGAAGCTAAAAGGGAACAAACGCATAAGACTAAGTGCCGCCTGTTGTTAATGGTCCACACTGAATAGTGGATCCATAACTGATCCATATCTGCAATTGCTTGCAGTATTGGAAGCGAAAATGAAGTGCAGACAGTTGATGCCAAACTTCTTGTGTCTCCATGCAAACGGATTAGATAGGTGTCTGGTTCAGATCAATAGTGTGCTTTCCTGGGACTTTTATGTCTCTTACTAGATGTATTGGTTTGTGCCTTTACTTCTCTGAACACCCCATGTGCTTGTTCTAGCCTTTTATGATCCTCATTAATCTGTAATCTGACTTATGTTTCATTTATTATGTTCAGGTTTCATATTACTAAAAAGTTCATGTTAGTTTCTATGCTTCCTATACTTCCGTAGGATTGGGATAGTTTGTGTTGGTGCCCTTTGGCTTGGTACGTCTTATCAGGTTCCACATACTATATCAGAAGACTGTGTGCACTATGATGAATCAAACAGTGCAAATAAAAATAATGCAAATATGAACAAATAGTGCAAATAGTGAATATAGAGCTCCAGCATAGATAAGTTATGCAAATTAAGATCTTTTTTAAAGGGCTGCTGAGTCTGTCAGTTGCACAAAGCAGATCTTGAGATTTCTCCAGAGAAGTCTGGAATCAGAAAGTCCTGTGAATAACTTTAGAGAGGGGAGAGAAAATGTGAGTCATCCAGAGTCTCTAAGTGCGTGCGCGCGCACGCACGCGCACACACACACACACACACACACGAGTATACTACTTCGGTCCTGGATGTTGGCAGTTATGAAGTATGTAAAAAAGGAAGGGGAAAAGAATCACTTGCTGAGTGACGTGTAAAGTCTGCCCAGCAATTAAACATCCCAAAATGTTTGCTGCAATTGCTTCTCTATAACTTTGCTAATCCACTTCTAAACTCTTCCAAAATATTTTGCTCTGTATCTCCCTCTCAGGTTTTCTGTATATTTGGTGTCCTATGAAGTAACTTTCCTGTAGCAGTATCTCTGTCATCTAGTATTTTTCCAGAAGTCAATAATCCTGCACTGCCTGTAATGTAGAGTACTCTGATTAGTCCTAATAAAACCAGCAAGATCATGCTGTTGCTAACACCCCCAGACACATGCAGACAGGCTTGCACTACTGTGTGCAGCCAAAGGATGCTGTTTATGGTCGGTAGCTACCAAACCTGCTTATTTGAAGTTCACAGGGGAAAGTTGCAAGTGTTTAACCACAAAAGCAGGGGCAAAATACTGTTGTTCGTATGTTACAGGCAAGTTCAGACAAAAAGTTTGGTTGTGTAGTCAAGCCTTAGTTTCTCTTCTGATGGATAGAGCCAGTGCAAATCTCTGGATGTTAAGTCTTCAGCATTTCCCCTCCTTCTCATGGCTGGTTTTGAGATTCTCTTTTATCTTTAATTGTACCCCTTTGGCCTAGTCTTCCCACGCCCCGAATTGTTCCCTTTTCACCCCTCCTTCCTTTTCTCTTAGTTCTGAAGGTGGAAAACCACTTTTAAAATAAGTGTGAAATGTATTTCTCCCTGTGGAATAGCTTTAATCTTAATTTAATCCAATTACATTGGCTGAACATATTAGCTGGGTGCTTTTGTTAACAGTTGTCCTTTTTAAAATCTATGCCCTTGGATTACAGAGCTGCTGCCTCATGGAGAGGAACGAAGATATTTCACGCCTTCAGATGCTGGCTACTGCTGGGCCACCTGGCTGCAGGAGCACAGTGTCTGTGCTGGTTAGCAGGATGCAGTCAGTTCAGTTTTTGCTCCACAACCGATGAATTAGTGCCTTGATCCCTTTGCACAAAAAAAGAGAGAAGAGTGGCTCGAGCACTCTGCACATGTTGTTATGCTGTTGGTTTATATGAATTTCATGTGCTTTAACGCGCCTGTTAATAAGTTTGAGGTTTGCAAATGGAGTCTAGCACTGAGATGTTAGCTTTCCAAAAATAAATACATATAAACAAATTTATTTAGAGCCTACTGTGGGTCACAGATCCAAAGTAAAACACATAAGCTAAATCGTAGTACAGAAATATCTGTTTACAACTCCATAGCAGAATTTATTATTTTATCTTGGTTCACTGAGGAGCAGAGCATGATGCAACTTTTTTGGGGCAAGTATAAAGAGCAAGCAAATAAAATACTCTGAATTATTCAACCTAATTGAGTAAACAATGTTCTTCAGAAACAGATATGCAAGTAAACTTCATTAGACACAAAATTTCTTTCTCTTCTTTTTTTCTGTATCTCACCAGGTAATGCTCTTTCTATTGTGGATAACAAATATCCTCAGATTAAATTTCAGTAACTTGAGTAGTATGACACAGTATGGAATTGTTTCCAAAGTTAGTAGATTATGTTTCTGTCTGGGCACAAAATTCATACTGGTAGTTTTCAATGTAGTGCGTCCATGTGTTACATTGTCTAACAGTTTAGTTCTTCATTTTTCATACCCAAAATGTCAAACAGAGCCTTCCTCTGAGCTGGATGGAGCATTTAGCCAATTTTAGTCAATCTTCTTTCTAATAGCACTTTTGCTCCACTTCCTCCATCTTGCTTTTATGTAGGCAGCTCTAATGCAAACATTGTAGTTCACACGAAATAAATTTAGTGGCTATGCTTTCAATGAAGACAAATTGTTGAGAAGCAAAAGAGAACAGTTATCCAGTGTTGCTCTTGATATAACATCTTGGGTTGCACTGCTGGAAAGTTTAGTATGCTGGAACTTACTGATCCTCTCATAAAGCCATCCGTTCAAATGGTGAAGGAAAAATTTAACTTGCTTCAATACTACCTGTGCTCAAACTTAAAGGGATATAAACAGGTTTTCAGTAAAAAACATAACTCTTTGTGTGCATATATGTGTGCATGTCTGAGAGACTGTTTTTTGATTTTCTTAACTGAAGCATTCTCAACTCATCTGAGGGTAGAAATGCTTCATATATATTTCAGAAAGTCCAGACTTAGTTAAAGTAGGTCATACAAGTCTCACCTGGTTGTCTTTTAAAATCTAAAAATCTACTGTTTTTTCCAAATATAACCATCCGTAACCTTTGAGAGTGAAATATTTTAAGGTCCAGCTAAGTATTCTAGCAGATAATCAGATTCTCTGATGATGAATATGGGGAGAGAACCTGGATGGATATAGTACATTGCTGTGAAAAATTCACCGCTGTCCACCTTTCCTGCAGCCCCAAAATTCTATTTGATAAAGTGAAATATGCTCCATAATACCATATTGATTAATAAAATTTTGCTTTTTAACAGGCAAAGCGAAGGCTGGAACTAGGAGAAAGTGGTCACCAGTATCTTGCTGAAGGATTAAAAACTCCGAAAGGGAAAGGAAGAGCTGCGACCAGAAGTCCAGATAGTCCAAAAAGTAAGGGAACTTTTATTGTGCTCTGTGGCACAGAATTTTCAGTTTTATTAGCTGAGGATCAGAGGGAACCACTACACTAATCAGGTCAGCCTCTGCTGTCCCCCTGGGGTTACAGCAGGCAGTGTTCGTTCCCCTGGCAAGAACTGGCAAAGAATAATAACTGTGCCTCAACAGTGTTGCATGCCAAATGCTTTTTGTGGACTCTGTTCTGTCGTCTTCGCACTGGATTATGCACTGACGTTGTTTAGCTGCACATCTGTATTGCCTTGGGAAGTGCGTTTTGTGCAATAGGAGCTGGGGGATGTAGCTTGGCAACCTGTTTTGGGGGTTTCAGTAGGAGAATTAGGCCATGGGCTTGCAGGGTGGGGGATGTGCAGTAGAAGAATGGGGAAAGGGGAGGGATTGGGGGAGCAGTGGTAGTGAAGGAAGGACAAGAGACCATAAAGGGGGTATTCTGATCTGCCTATTTAAGCTCTTAAAAGCTCATCTATTAAGTATATAGATGCTACATTTGTGCATGGAAACACTAAGTTGTGTAGTAAGATCCAAGCTGTTCGCAGATTCCAGTGTAAAATAAGTGAATACTCTTGCCCAGTTTGAGCCTGGTCTGGTTATGAAGAAATGATAATTATAAATTATATCTTATGTCAATCTCATCTAATTAAATAGAGTTTTCTGTAAATCATGGAGCCTGGCACTGATGGAATCTGTCATTTCATTCACCCACTGAAGTACACCTAAGTTCTGCTTAACTGCATGTGAAATACTTATCTTACAAGAGGGGAAAATCAAGCCCTGATGAAAGTTGGCTATCAGCCTGATGAAGGAGAGTCATAGGGAGATTTTTCGTATTGCTGCCAGGATAAATAGAAACTAAAAATACTGTTAAGAATTCACATAGTGAAAGCCTAGGTAGAATATTGCTATATGTAACTGTCAGGCTAATGGAAATATTTGTGTTTAAAAAATATATATATTTGCTCGTGTACCTGTGATATTTGGAAAAGTACATCCTGAAATACAAATAAACAGCCAGTGGTAAGTTGTGTCTTAATGCAGAGGTTAGAGAGTTTTCTTCAGCAAAAATGAAAGAAATACCTGTAATATGTATCTTTTCATTTCTGGATGCTGTTTTCGGAACCAAAATGAGAAAAGTGATTTATTTGGGGTTATTCTTTTTCTCCAAGCCCCAAAATCTCCTTCAGAAAAGACTCGGTATGATACATCACTTGGCCTTCTTACAAAGAAGTTCATTCAGTTGCTGAGCCAATCTCCTGATGGGGTCTTGGACTTGAACAGAGCAGCAGAGGTCCTCAAGGTGCAAAAAAGGAGGATTTACGATATCACCAATGTACTGGAAGGCATCCATCTCATTAAGAAAAAATCCAAAAACAACATTCAGTGGATGTGAGTATTCATCATCCTTTTCCATTCCTCCTGGCTGATTTCACTGTTACAAAGTAGCCATGTTTTTCCCCTCTCAGCTTCCATGCTAACGCCTTGCTCTGAGCAATCATCCAACATGCCTTCTATCAGAATAAAGCTTTTTTTAGTTAGTTAAGACAGTTTTGCAGTACATAAATAGCATTTCATATGGAAATTAGAAACCAGAGTTTTGTCTGAATATTAGATTAATTAATTTGTTTCTGTAAATGGAGTTCACTTTTATGTACACATCTCTACCTGCTTTTTTCCTCAGTCATCTTCAGGGCATAGTTATAGGAGAAGGGATTTAGAAGTAAGATTTTGTAAGTGCTTAGAAATATTTGACTCTTCCATATTAGTGGCAGTAAGTCATACATACAGCATCTTATGTTAATTAAATTGCAAAATGACTTGTTATTATAAAAAAAAAAAGCATAGTTTATGTTGACATGCTTTGGGCAGGTTTAGGGAAAAGGGGCTAAGAAATTGATTTGAATTGGTTGATTCACTTCCCTTTCCCATAGCATTTTCTCAAGTTTTACAAATATTTAAAAGGTGTCTTCATTCTTTGGATCTGTAGGGGCTGCAGTCTGTCTGAGGATGGTGGCATGATGGCGCAGCGTCAAGGCCTCACAAAGGAGGTGACAGAACTGACTCAGGAAGAGAAGAAACTAGATGAGCTAATCCAAAGCTGCACCCTGGACCTCAAGTTGCTAACAGAGGACTCGGAGAATCAGAGATATCCTTTTTGCCAAAATCTTAAAGACGGTTAGTCTCCTTGCTACTCCTCTGACACTAGGAGAATCCTTCAAAGGAATGTGGTGCAAAGCATTCCCATAAGGTGGCTAACTGGTTCTAATGCAGATGTATTTAAGAAGTCACTTAAGCTATTTGCATCTTGCTTCTGGAATATTTAAAAAATAAAAGTGGTATATGAAGTAGCCCTGAACATCCATGTTTACATAGAGTAGAACCAAGAATTCAGCTGATTAATGAGTGATGATGTCAAAGCAAAGAATGTCTTTCAAAAACTTGTGCTTTCTAGACCATTTTAAGCTTACAGCAAACCCAATTTTTGTGTGTGCAGAAGTTATAATGACATACAAAGTCTTTGTTTAGGTAACAAAGAATTCTGTATAGATATAATGATTACTTAATACACATCACATTAAACTAATGAGTATATAAATTACAGGCACAGTGAGGAAAAGGAAATTGGGACTCATTTCAGTCTGAAACTTCCAACAGATTCTCAAATTTCTCTGGTCAGAGAAGCTATAACAGAATATCATAAGTGTTTTACAAACTGTCAAAATGTCTATTTTAGAATAAGTCATTTAATGTAATAGCAGTGCTCAGATGCATAAGGTTCATATGATTTATTGGTAATTTAGTTGCTAATACCTATTATAATTAAGCAGTCATGTTTTTTACTAGATATCCCACCCATTAGCAACAGAAGAGTGTTGTATTAAATGTTGATGTGAAAACTTTTAAGACTCTAAAAAGTCAGTAGTTCAAAGAGCATCTAAGAAACTGGACTTAATCTCTGTTTCAAAGGATAGGAAATAACTCTGGCAGTATCATGAAAAGTGATGTGAACTACGTAAGTATTGTCTTTTGAGTATACTTACATTTCAAAACGCCTATGAAAGCAGGAAATAGATGACCAAGCGGCACAGGGAGTAAGGTCAGCACTCTTATACTAAGAGCTAGATCCCTGAGGAGATTTAAGCAATGCACAACTGAGCATTGTGATTCTTTCTACATGCTGATTGCCATGGTAGGACTCCTTGCCCTGAGTTTGCTGGTTCCCTCAGCAGTGGGCAAAGAGGGCATCCCCACAATCAATGTGCTGAGCATTTACTGATACTACTACTAATTACTGAGGAAGCAATGCAGCAGTGCTAGACCTGGAGATGCACCTGATTGCATCCCCATGCAGTCTTCTGCTTATCTCACTACAGTTTGACAAGAGACAACCTGCTGAATATTGATGCATCTGAGAAGCTTCTTCCTTCCCTTAATCTCTGAAGACAAAGTTCTTGTTTTTTGAAGGTAGTTTTTTTTTTCTGATGATTAGGTAATGCCAGAGCATCACTTGTGCCCAGGCTGAGTGGTTTCTAATCTTTCCTATAAGCAGAATCAGAACATAACTCATTGTTACTGTAAGTGTTTCGAAATACGGCTAGTGTCAGCTTGGGGAGCTTTTGGCTACAGCAGAGGAAACAGAAGGTTTTGCTTTGTCAGCTAGCTAAGCGTAGAATTTCTAGAACTTTGTCAAAAATATGAAGAGAAATGAGGTGGTTTGTCTGAGGGGTAATTTGATACAATAGTCTGATCTGAAGGATTGTCTAACGCACATGGCCTGTCATCTTTATGCATCAATTTCAATGCAGATCTATTATGAAAGAAGATTGTTGTTTAGTTTCAAAAAGATACAATCTGTTTGCATGTTTGCATCCTGACAGAGGCTGTAATTTGCACTCTGCCTTTGCAAACCTTAGTAAAGGACTGGTAAAGGCCTTGAATTTACATGAAAGCTGACCTATATTTTGCCTCCTGACCTATCACATTTTGCTTTTGGTCCATTTGCATTTTGGACTCGAGCAATTTGTTTTGCTGTAGCGTAAAGTAACAGTATACATTTACCAAAATAGTTCACAGTCCCCGTCCTCTTCCCCCACCCCTGCCAAAAGTATAACCATGAATTACCAGGTGATATGAAAATAAAAAATAGTTGGATGACTTTGACAGATGGTTACTAAAATAAAATCTCAAAATGAAAACCGATTTACAGTTCTATTGATAACTTCATAAATATATTGCGTATACGCATCTAAAACATGTCTGTATGTTCCTGTACACTTTTCCCATGGTTTCCAGTTCTCTGCATCTCATTTGCAAGTGTGTAAAAATTTTTCTGCATGCAATCTGAGTAAGCGTGGGTTGGTGTTTTTTAGTTTATGTACTTTTGCACATATAAAAGACAAGAGATAAAAAGTATTCAGAAGAGAAAATTCCTCGTCACTCAATTGTGGCCCCAGCTGATAGAGCAAGGAGAAATTCTCACAGACTCTGATTACAGTCACAACCAGTCTTTTGTCAGAGTAGCGCTATAGAGCATGACTTTGAGTGTAGAGAATAGGAAACTTAGAACAGGGCTGAGAAAGACTGATGTAGCCATGAGAAAATGGAAAAATAATTCAAAGAATTCTGTCTTTTCTAATAGTGTGAATATATTGTAACATGGGTTAGAAAATTCCTTAATGCTTATTACATTAGCTTATGTGACATATCAAGACATTCGAAAAATTAGTGGCCTTAAAGACCAAACTGTTATAGTTGTGAAAGCTCCTCCAGAAACAAGACTTGAAGTGCCTGACCCAGTGGAGGTAAGAAGAGACTGGCTTTTCCTGCCCTATGTTTTTCACTTTTCTATAGATAAAGTGTGCTGTGAGTTTTACTGTGGTAGCTGATGTCCAAGTTGGATTATATTGGCATACAATTCTATATTCATCCTTACATACCTCATTGTTACTGTAAGTGTTTCGAAATACGGCTAGTGTCAGCTTGGGGAGCTTTTGGCTACAGCAAAGGAAACAGAAGGTTTTGCTTTGTCAGCTAGCTAAGCGTAGAATTTCTAGAACTTTGTCAAAAATATGAAGAGAAATGAGGTGGTTTGTCTGAGGGGTAATTTGATACAATAGTCTGATCTGAAGGATTGTCTAACGCACATGGCCTGTCATCTTTATGCATCAATTTCAATGCAGATCTATTATGAAAGAAGATTGTTGTTTAGTTTCAAAAAGATACAATCTGTTTGCATGTTTGCATCCTGACAGAGGCTGTAATTTGCACTCTGCCTTTGCAAACCTTAGTAAAGGACTGGTAAAGGCCTTGAATTTACATGAAAGCTGACCTATATTTTGCCTCCTGACCTATCACATTTTGCTTTTGGTCCATTTGCATTTTGGACTCGAGCAATTTGTTTTGCTGTAGCGTAAAGTAACAGTATACATTTACCAAAATAGTTCACAGTCCCCGTCCTCTTCCCCCACCCCTGCCAAAAGTATAACCATGAATTACCAGGTGATATGAAAATAAAAAATAGTTGGATGACTTTGACAGATGGTTACTAAAATAAAATCTCAAAATGAAAACCGATTTACAGTTCTATTCATAACTTCATAAATATATTGCGTATACGCATCTAAAACATGTCTGTATGTTCCTGTACACTTTTCCCATGGTTTCCAGTTCTCTGCATCTCATTTGCAAGTGTGTAAAAATTTTTCTGCATGCAATCTGAGTAAGCGTGGGTTGGTGTTTTTTAGTTTATGTACTTTTGCACATATAAAAGACAAGAGATAAAAAGTATTCAGAAGAGAAAATTCCTCGTCACTCAATTGTGGCCCCAGCTGATAGAGCAAGGAGAAATTCTCACAGACTCTGATTACAGTCACAACCAGTCTTTTGTCAGAGTAGCGCTATAGAGCATGACTTTGAGTGTAGAGAATAGGAAACTTAGAACAGGGCTGAGAAAGACTGATGTAGCCATGAGAAAATGGAAAAATAATTCAAAGAATTCTGTCTTTTCTAATAGTGTGAATATATTGTAACATGGGTTAGAAAATTCCTTAATGCTTATTACATTAGCTTATGTGACATATCAAGACATTCGAAAAATTAGTGGCCTTAAAGACCAAACTGTTATAGTTGTGAAAGCTCCTCCAGAAACAAGACTTGAAGTGCCTGACCCAGTGGAGGTAAGAAGAGACTGGCTTTTCCTGCCCTATGTTTTTCACTTTTCTATAGATAAAGTGTGCTGTGAGTTTTACTGTGGTAGCTGATGTCCAAGTTGGATTATATTGGCATACAATTCTATATTCATCCTTCTTAAAAACTTTGGAGGTTAAAAAGAAAAAAAAAAAGGAAAAAAAAAAAAAACATTTTACATAAGACGCTCCTTATTCTCCTCTCTGCAATCCTGAAGTGCTACCATTTCATTCCTTTACTTTGGATTCCAGCTTTCTCTTCAAAGCAATCCACACAGTTTACAAATTATTCTCCTTTGCCATACTTTACATAAAGAACTTTCCCTCGACAGTTGAAAGTTCCCGTTTATAAGACTGTAAAATATTTCTCTTAAAAAATTCAGCTCTTATTCCTCTAGCTTTTACATAGTTTTTAGTCAAAATGGTCATAGATAATGCCTTAGACATCTTGATGACTCACATTACTGATACTCTTTTTAAGACATTTGTTTTCATGTAGGATTTTCTTTCAAGTATTGAAGTCATTGTAGCAACTTGTTTTTCATTCGTAGACTTTATTCTGACCCTTCCTCCTTCCTTCATCTTCTTTGCTTCACTGACACTGATTTTACACCTCTGTGTAAATTTCATATTACACTCCCTTTGTGCACTTTTTGTTTGCCATTGTGATGTGTGTATATGGGATGGAGATTTCCTTGCATGCTTTCTTTTATTATAAGTACTTTATTTCTGAAGCTGTCTGTGTTCATCCATGTCCCTCTTCCATCACACTTTGCTACTCAAGCAACAGTCTCTCTCTGATGGGCAGCTTTTGTATAGACATGTCTGGCGCTTGTTCTTTTGTCTTGGTTTTGTTTCTTTCCCTTATCTCAGGTAGATGTCCAGGGTAAATTAGCTACTTTTCACTTCCTCTACCTGATGTGACAATTGCAGAGAAAAAATGCTTCAGGTGACTTTTCTTTGATGGTACCCTCAGGAGTAGCTTTACTTTTCTTCATTTCTCCCAAGGTTTTGAACCACGCGGGTCAGCTACTGCTGTGATTTTATCTCTTGGTAGCAAAAAGTTCTGCTTTGCAATTCCCAGTTAGTATGACAGACCCCATTATGTTGGACAAAGGTAAACTCTTTGCAGATCTGTGAATAGCCAGTGCTTTAGAGATTCAGAAAGTGTACTTTGTTTCTTCACTCGAAGAATAACTAAAGATAAGGCCAAAAAACAAAATTCTGTGTGGTCATACCTCTACATTATTCCTTCATTATTAATGTTGGGTTGGTTCCATTGAGCCCAGATCTACCTACCCCAGGGTGGGCAGTAACAGACTCTTCCAAGTTCTCTCTGCCTTCTTTTACTAAGATTCTTCTTTATTTGCTTAGGCGCATTGAATTGTCTGTCTGTCTGTCTGTCTTCTGCCTTTGTCCTTAATTTCCCCTGTGATCCTAGGTGCAGGTTTTGGAAGAATAAATCATTTTGCTGCAGTGAGGAAGGGGTATCTTCTATCAGTATCCATAAATATATATTGTTATCATTGTTTTCTTTCCCCTAGGCATTATGCTCGTGATTTTTAATTCAGTGAATTCAGGCAGGTGGATAGAGATGCACACAACCATTTAAAATAGTGCCTGCAACTCCCTTATCCTTTATACACAACTTAACTTACTCATTTGGTTTTCAGCTTCAGGTAGTAGAAGAATAATTTCTTCCTCTCATTCAGTTACATGTCCATGTCTATTTTGCATGTATCAGTCACTCAACAGGATCTTCTTCCAACTCTGGCTCTCTCCATCTCCTTTTTTCTAATTGCCTACAGCATTGTTTCCTGAACATCTCCCCAAGTACCCTTAACTTTTTTCTGTGCCCTTCAGTATCCCTGTTCAGTGGTGGTTCTTTGTATTTATAAAACACTGTGTACCATGTTCTGCTCTGCAATTGTCAGAATATAAACAATGTGAGAAACTTTTTGTCAAAGGGCACAATTAAAAGGGTTTGAAACAAGTCTGCCAAGAGGTATATAATGTCTGTGTTCATGCTTTTTAAAACTATTAATGTAATGCAGCAGTAGCAGGTTTATTTTTAACTGGAATTATTTATGATTTTCTATCATAACCCTAAGCAACTTCGCGGATTTTGTATCTATATATGTCATCTAGTTTTATTGCACCAATATATGAAAGCTAAGCAAATTAAATTATTGAGACAAATTCAGAATTCCTATCATTTAGGAATGACACTTTCAGAATTAGAGTTGCTTCCTTGGCAGGGATAAAGGACTTATATGAACAAGTTTGAGTGAAAAAAGGACACATCTTTTTTTTTTGTCTGTCTGTCTATTTGGAAAAATTGTATGTTAAATGGGTGAATTTATATACAGCTTTTTGAAATCAGTGTGAACCAGAATACTGAAGAAGTTTTTGTGGGGAATGGGAAGGATGTTTTGACTTTCTTTTACAGAAGAAACATTTACACAATTATATCCAGTATTATTGTTATGAATAAAACTTATGACTCGCATACCGTAGTTCATTCCATCAGAATGCTCCAGGCTATTATACCTGTAAGGAAATGTTAGGGGTTGGATCCTTTATATCTCTCTGGTTCTGATACAACATACAAAATGGTGGGCAACAACAGGAGAGGAAACAACAGGAAAAGCTTTTATGTTCTCTTCAAGCCTATATCAGCCAAGCCTTTCACATCTTCAGAAAAATGCATGAAGGATTTTTAATTCTGTTGATTAGTAAAGAATGTTTTCGAACATTACTTGTGTAAGAACGTGCTAGCTCTTATCAATATTCTGTCATGTTCATTACTATAAAACCCTACGGACATCTGTTCTCTCAGCAGAGTGCATTGATACATTTATCTAGTACTCAAGGACCTATTGAAGTTTATCTATGCCCAGAGGAGAACGATGGCCTCAGTCCAATGAAAACCTATAGTCAGGACCACAATGGAAATATTTCCAAAACCATTTCCAAAGGTAAGATTGTTTCTTTGTAATACTAACAGTCTTCCTTTCTGCTTTCAGATTTCATTTTGAATTTCAGATATCCAGCTCTTGTTTTTTGTCTTTATTTTCCTGTGAAGTGAAAAGCTAAGGTATCCATCTTCCACAATGTCATTCTGTTGTATATTGAGGGGAAAAAAAATATTTTCCTTTGCATCAATTGTTTAAAATAACTTTCAATAAGTAAATTTCAATAATAAAATAAACAGCAAAGATTCATCTTGATACAAAGGCAGAAATCTGGGTATACTGACATATGGAGCTACTCAGCATCTCTGAGGACATCTATTAGAAAGTTTTCACTTTGAAATATTTAGGACTGTGAGTTCCAATGAAGAAAGGGTATCTTTCACTGCACTTAATTTGGGTTTGGGTTTTTTTTCAGTAGTTGTTTAAACCTTATAAAATAATTGTTTATTGAAAAGCCTGAGGTGACAGCAACATGAGTATTTTTGAGAAGCCATTAGTAACATATTAAAAACTATCTAGAAATTATCTGAAATGGATTTTTGTTTAGATGATGGTTTGCAAAAGTTCCCTTATGTAGTAGTAGTTACTTTTTTTCATCCATGTCTAACATTTCTAATGGGATTAAATGTATTATCTGTATTTCCCTTTCTTCCCTCCCTTGTAGAAGTGGCTTCCGGTAACTCAGGACAAGGTGACTGCTCAGTGAATATGGCGACGCTTTCTCCATTGGCTTCTCCAGCCAACCTTCTACAGCAGACTGAGGACCAAATTCCCTCAAACTTTGAAGGACCATTTGTGAATTTGCTGCCTCCTCTGCTTCAGGAAGATTATTTGCTGAGCCTTGGGGATGAAGAAGGCATCAGTGATCTCTTTGATGCTTATGATTTAGAGAAGCTTCCTTCATTGGTAGATGAATTTATATACAGCTGATTCTCTTAAATGATGTCCATACTTAAATCATGTTTTTATTAGAAATGGAACACCTGCCATCATTCAGTAGTCCCCTACTTATTATAAAATAGCATTACTAAATAATCCATGCTCCTAAACAGTGCTGATATTTTAATTAAATACTCCCTAAAATACCATAAAAAAACAACTGAAGGCTTTTACAACAAAGCCTTCTCTTTGACCCCAAAGCTCCAGCGCCCTGTGAGTCGCAAGTGCAAGCAGGTCACCATAAATGTTTTGTTTTCACACTCCCCCAGTCTCTGCTTACTGTGACAAGTGGGCTTATGGAGAAGGGCTCAATGAACTGGTTTAATCATAAATAACAATTTTATAATAGTATTTCAGGTCGTGCCTTCTGCAGAGAATGCATGTCTTTTGAGTCTCACAACATGGATTGTACCTGCAGTAAACATAAATATGAAGTAAAGCAAACGTGTGAAATGGGATTCTTCAGCTATTTGTGGGAATGTTTAAATTGCTGTCATAATGCTCATTTTGAGCTGTGTATACATCTCACTATGAGGTCAAATACTTATGTCCTTAAAAGCTTTTAATAAAAATACACTGTAAATGTAGTGTATATTGCAAATATTGAAAAGTATAAAGTTCTGCCACTTCTCGTAGTAATCACAGATTTTAAAAAATGCTTGTGTAAGTGTGTGTGAAAGTAGTTTGTTTTTTTAAAACTAGGACAAAGATGCACAGTTCAATTTTACTGCCCCCAGTGTGCATTAGAACTGGTACATAAATTTTTGTGGTACTAAGTGGGGCTTTGTGTTAAGTGCCTACTAGAGATGCACTGTGGGTTTTTCCCTCTATGGAAAACACTTATGCCAAGCTTTGTTTGTTCGATATATCATATTTATCTCAGTGGGTTAGCTTCCTCTGCTTACAGCTTTTTATAATTCTCGCCAGTGAAACAGAACTAATTTTTTTTTCCAAAGTACATAACTGTAAGTACCACATCAACTGAATTGCATTTATTTTTGAAAATCTTTGGTAGTATAGTATAGTACCAATATTTATTTTTTGAAAGTGAGAGGAATTCTAAAAAGTCTTAAATAATTTTTTCTTTTGAGTGTAAAATATGTTGCCATGTTTTGGGCTAAATTAATGTATGTTGATTAGATGATGCCCATATAATTTTTTTTTTTGCATTAATGTTGTGCTTACCTGACATATTCAGAAAATTAGTACTATTTGTACTGTAGTAGAATATTATGTATGCAGGTTTTCTGGTACCATTGAGTTGCTGCTATAAAAGCTCACACATGAAATGGGAAGAAGTCACAGTACTAATAAGAAAACTGTATGACTGTGTGAGTTTTGGAATATAACAAATGTATAAAGGGCAACACATAAAGAACTGTTAAACAGTGTTAAGTGTGTGTTTATATGTACAAATGTGTGCATAGATCATTCAGCAGTTGTATTTAAGTTGATATATGTTCTCAACTCACACTTTAGTTATCTAGCAGTTTTGTACAATAGAATTAATTTGTAAACACTGCCAGAATATTTTCTAGCTGGTTTGTAATTTTTTAAGAGTTTTTTTAGATGTGGATCTGTAAATAAAATTGTAGTATTTAAAGTTTTAGTCGGTGGAAGAAGAAAGTAAAAGTTGTGTGAGCATGAAGATTTGTGAGACAAAGGGGCACTTTTGTGGGGGAAGAGAAAATGAAGACTAATGGAGATCATCTTTTTTGTACAAATTAAACACTTGTCCCAATGTGCGTGGGCAAAATACTAATCTAATTTAGCTTTGCATTGTATGCCAGTTTAAAAAAAAAACTCTGTAAAATACTGTAAAAAACAACAAAAAAAAGCTTTTATGGTGAGTTTTGTAAATAGATTTATTAAAGGATGACCTGTTCTCTAGCTGTGATCTTACCACTTCAAATGGATGTAATTTGAATAAATTTTGTATGGTAATGAATCAATAAAAACAATTTTTTAAAGAGTTTAGATTTGTATATGGCTTTTAAAATTCTTGTTACTCTTGGTGCCTAGAATGCGTCGTCTTGGAACCTCACTGTTAATGTTTTAATTAGTGCTGCTCATACTCATTTCACATCATCTATGCTTCACTTCTATTTTTTTTAGTATGCTGACAATACATTCAGTGGTTTTAAAGCCAGAATGAATTTGTACAAAAAACACACATGTAAAGAGACACAGTAGGAGATCCAGAGGTGGGGATAGCAATGGTCTATTTTTATTGATTTCCCATATGAATTATGAACTGACTTCTTGCAAAATTCTTACAAATTTCGTTATTCTAGGATTAAATGATGTAAAAGAAATTGCTGAGGATTGGTTTAATGTCCCTACCGATAGCTGTCCAGAAGCGTGTTTCAATAGTAGCACTGAAAAGGAGTTCTTTTTACTTGTGAGTCATCTCCAACAGTCTCCTACCGTAGACATGCACCTATAAATCTGGTCTTGATGCTGCACCTTCTCAAATGTATGGCCAATAAACTATTAAAAGAAGAAAAAAAAGTCATTGAGATGATAAAATCACAGTAGTGTGGTTGGTTGTTTCAACGTTACACTTCTGAGCATGTTGTATGTGTCTTTTCTTCCCTGTACACAGGGAGAAAGCCACTATTTTTCCTCTTTATGCACCTGTCCGTACTCTAACTTGAGCATATAGCAGTACTGAAAGGAAGATTACAGAGAACATCTGTTCTTCTGTATTGCTGATAAATAATAGAAGAGGGCTACAGGACTTCTCTCTCTAATCTCACTCTGAAGCAGAAATGACAATCAATGTCCTCTTTCTGTCCTATTTGTCATTGTTCCCTGGCCTGTTATCAGTTCTATGACTGCCATAAGTGCTTTCTACTTGCCTCTAAAGTCTGATGGTGATTGACATTTTTCTTGTCGTTTTCTCTCCTTTTCCCTCTCTTTCTTTATCTGCTTTGTGAACTTGAGACATGTTGAGTTGCAGGAAGAAAAACAGCCAGTTAAAATATTTCATTTAGTAACTGGAGTACAAGCTGTTAATCGTTCTGCTCCCCTGAGCTAGCACAGCGTGCCTGGACTTTACCTAGCATACTAATATTAATTTCAGGTAGGCTTTATCATGGCCTGTATGTGCTGCATTTCTGGGTGCCAGCAGATGGAAAAAGGATTCTGAGAAATCTGTCAAAACAGGGCTGATTGATTGATGGGCAATTATACACTCCTTTTCACATAGGAGAGGAGTTTATTCCTAGGAACTCCATTTCGCAGAAAAGGGGGTTCTGACCTTGAACCTACAGTGAGAACTGGTCCATCTGCATCTACAGTATCACTTTCTATTCTCTGTGACTTATACCTGAAAGGATAAATCACATCATTGTCTTTTTGTGGGCACAGACATTTCTTTTGTAGGAAAGAAAGTATAAGAATTCATCTCCCTGTTTTGTTTTTCATGCTGAATCAAGATCTGTCTGCATACTATTCTGTATCTAAACAAAGATCAGCATAATTCTTTGCCTTT